GGCCTCAAATTTTGGCCCAATATTTTTTTTTATATCTAGGCCCAAATCCCAATTACTGTAAATCAGTCCAAGGCAAATTAGTTTTGGCCCAATTGTAACCTAAACCACTAAACAATCCCCGTCTCCTTCCCAGTTCCCGCTCTCAATCTCAATCTCGAAATTTCATTCTACTCTCCCAAGAATCCTATCCACCCACCAATCCAACTGTTCTTCAAGTTCAAGCCGACGTCGGAATGGTGCTTTTGTTCCACTTTTCTCCTTCCTTCCACTTTTCGCCGGAGTTAACCATTTCGCTTTCGAGTTCCAGGCTTCCAGCTTTCAAGTTTCGAGTTCTGTCCGCACTCCGCCGCCGCCCGCGACTGCGATTCGCTCTTCAAGGCCATCAACCGTTGACGGTTGATTGCTTCCTGCTGGTAGACTGGTAGTGGCCCTACTTCTACAACTAGTTAAGCACTTAAGCCTTTACGGGTGGTTGCCCCATAATTGGTTACTTTGTTTTTCTTTTTTTTTTTCCTCCATAGATCAAATAATGTTATTATTCTGATTTAGGAATTGTTTGGTGTGTGATTTGTTGTTCAAAGCACAAAAAAGTGGAGAAAAATTTTAACGAACTTTCTATGTCTGGCATCTTCCTATTGTTTTAATAGGTTTGTTACAGCATATGGTACTTTTTATCTCTGATTATATCCTAACTTGTTCGGGAAACTGGAGTTGGAATGGTGTGGGCTTAATTTGTAAAATTGATTGCATTACCAGCATCTTCTCTTTAGCTTTGTTGCTACTTTCTGATCATCGATGCGAATGCCAAAAGCTTCTATGGTTTTTATGTGCTATATGTATAATTTTTGTCAAAAAAAAGTCTAGGAGCACAAGATTTACATTTCTTGCAATCCTGAATGCGCTAAATTTCTTAATTGTACAAGAGCCAGTTACCACCTCCCACTTCTGAAATCATACTAAGTGCTCCTTAAGATCATTATGTACCAATTGTTGTCGCAGTTGATGGTCAGTATCTACTAATGTTCAGTATATATTGTAACTTCAAACTAGGTCTAGGAAGGACTATTTCAGTAGATTTATGAAAAAAATATTAAAGGCAAGTTTTTCAATGGGAAGTGCACAATTTAGACTAAATGTTATCTCGTCGACACTCATCTCTTCAGGTTCCTTCTGTCTCCTATGTTGTTTATTTGTGAATGATTGTTGTGAATTTATCTCGTCGACACTCATCTCTTCCGGTTCCTTCTGTCTCCTATGTTGTTTATTTGTGAATGATTGTTGTGAATCTGAGACTCTGAGTCATATAATAGCTTTCTAGTTTCCTTATCTGTGAATGATTGTGAATATGTTATTTATCTGTGAATGATTCAATTTCAGGCTCGTGAGAACTGAGATGCAACGCTGGATGCTGGAATAGGGCGTGATTCCACAATTTTCGTGGATTTTCTACTTCTCAAGTAAGCAATGGCTTGCTTTAACTTGATATTGAAATTGTTTGAAGCCTTGTCGACTTATATAATTGTGGCATTGTCGGCTTATATAATTGTGGTCTGGTCGGCTTGTATGAATGTTCATTGTGGCGTGTATGATCAATTGCACAGGCGTACATAGTCACTGTATTGAATACTTTAATTGTGAGATGATTGAGATATTTTGTAATTGTCTTTTAGGCTAATTATTGGCCATTAGATATATACTCATACGCCATGCCTCCTAAATATGTTTGAACAGGGAGACGAATAGTATTTAACTGATTGTTTGAACTCTTGTTGGTTTTGTTACTTTATAATATATATAAATCTTTTGTTCTTTATATTTATTTGTTGTTCTACTCTTCACTGTTAAGTTAGCAATACGTTGCATAATACACTATTAGATTTTGCATTTACGTTGATGTTGGGGGACCCAATTTTGGGAGTTCACCTCGGGCCCCGAAAATCACAGGACCGGCCCTGCTCCTTCATATCAGAGATTTGCTTACTCATGGGGAGGAGTCCACTCATATGGTCATGCAGAAAATTGAAAGTTGGAAACAAGGAGGAAACATCTATATTTCACTTGCCTATAAATACTTGAGGCCGAAAGGAACGAAGATAGTCTGGGCAACATCTATTTGGAATACATGTATCACATCGAAGCACTCCTTTATCCTCTGGTTAGGAGCCAAGTCTAAGCTACTAACCAAGGATAAATTACAGTATATGGGCATTGATAGGAACAATGTGCTCTGTGGCACTTCAACCAAATCCGTGCAACACTCGTTCTTTGAATGCACTATGAGTTCAAATGTGTGGAGGTAAATCAAAGATTGGTTTGGCATTCGATGAGCTATGTCTACTATCGCTAGCTCTTTGAAATGGATTAAGAAGGAAGCTCGAGGCACCTCATGGAAAAGTAAAGCTAAGAAGATAACCCTTGCATACACTGTTTACCAACTATGGACAACACGCAATAGGATGATTTTTGAGGATTTTTTGCCACAAACGAATAGCATTGTTAGAAGGATTAAAACATATGTATACAAAGGAATGTTTACCTTGTATCTTTATGTTTTAACCCATTATGAGTCACTAGCTTTAGGTCGATATATTATTTTGTTTGTAAATTATTTTTTTGTAGTATCACTCGGATATGCCGGAGTACTTGTACATGATTTTTTGATCAATATAATTCATATTTATCGATCAAAAAAAAATGAGGCCTCTTTTTATAGCATCTCCATGAGATTGAGTACCTAAACTGAAGTCCACAAATGCTGAGCACACTTGGAAAATGCTAGTGTATACCAGTCTGTTTAACGCATCTCATTCACTTCTTAAAGACTTAAAAACCTCAACACATTTCTCAATTTTCCCCATTTAAGAATAACCATGTAATAGAGCACTCCAAGAAACATCGTTTGGTTCACTGACCTCAATCATCCACTCAAATGCTCCACTAGCAGATTCCAAATTCCTGCATTTAACGTGAAAATCTCCAAGAGTACCAATCTAGACCTCACTTTCCAATCCAAGTTTAAAAAATAAACCATGAATCTGACCTCCAATCTTCCAATCCTCCAATGCTGCACAAGCTTTTAGAGTATTCACAAACACAAATGTGTCCAGTTCAATGCCATCTCTCACCAACCTACAGAAAATCTCAAGGCATCCTCCGCCCCATCAGCTTGAATATAATCCACCATCATCGTTGAGGCTAGGCATTTTCTTCACGCATCAAATCAAAACCTACTCAGCACTTTCCAGACGTCCGAATTTCTCATACATATTACATATGGCAGTATCCATAGACACATCGTCAGAAAATCGAACCTTAATCACCTGAGAAAGCACCTGTTTTCCAAGCTTCAAATATGGTCTATCAAAAAAAGACTTCAAAAGACTGATATAAATCAATGGGTTAGCCTTAACATCTAAATCCTGCATTTCCAAGTACAAACCCAGAGCACTCTCTAACAGTCCTTCGTCTCATAAGCACATATAATTATCACCCACGAATCCTAAGTTCTGTCACGCATTTCATCAAACAGTTTCTAAGCATCCTAAAGGTACATTTGCCGAACATGATTTTCAAGGAAGGCGAGTGGGTATTTTTGTAATCTTTTTATTGGATCATGAACTAATTTTCCATAACGCCAGTCCCTCTCCCTCTTACTGTTGGAAAAATTGGAAAAATGGCTGACTTTGGCACTAATTTTGAGCGGGACCCGCTTGGCTATTTTGAAAGATGAAAGTTGATTTGTGTTCTCCTCCGTGAGTACATCGAAATCATATACTTACTTGTTAAGAATGATACTCGAGTGAATGAGAAATTGAAACTCAAAGTATACCATGTGAAAAGAGTTCGTTGGTGGGAAAAATAAATATTTAAGCTTTGTCCCACATAGGAAGTGGAGGAAATTTAAAACCACTTTATGAAGGATTGCACTTTAGAATGGTGTAATCATGTGTAGCATAGATACTCTCTCCACGTACGCACGCAGGGGGGTGCAAATTTTGGACCGAAATTGGTTTCGGACCTTGAACTTGTGTGCGAGCGCGACCTGCGTACACGAATGTCGGACCGAAAGGAGCAAAATTGGCCCTTTAGAAGTGTCCACGTTTTGCTACATTTAAAATGAATGAGCAGGTTACAAGATCCTAAGCCTATGTATATCTCGTTTTTCCAGTCTTCAGTACACGAAAATTCATCTGCATATTTATCTGGTCACAGTTGGAGTCTGCTTTCGTTTTCACTTTCTTTTCCTATCTTGTTTGGTGATATTGTTCGGGCACTGGTTCAGTTCGTCAGAGTACAATCTGTGGTGTTCAAATTATACTGTTTCGCCGTTGTATTTTGGGAAACGGACGCTCTGTTAAACCTCAAGCACAGACGATGAGGGAGCAAATCTGTTTTAAGGAAACTGTGTGGAACACAGGCCACCGGGTTAAAAGTTTCCTGTCATTTAACTTCTGCAATTATTTGTTTGTAGTTCTGCTTAAATCAACTGTTACACTTTACTGCAATTTAACATATATTGTCGAATCTGCTACTGTATCTGTTGTGTATATTTGAATCCATTGTATTCAAGGTTAATGAATCTGCTACTGCGAATCCGGTATCCAACATTGAAACATTTTTAGTACACTTACTTGCACAACTTTCAAGCAAGTGCTTGTATGATTGAGGAGTAACGGGTAAGTTGAAAATCAACGGGTTTGCGGCTGAGGGACACCCATTAAGGAATTTAGGCTTAATTTCCAGTTTTTATGTTCGATAATTTCTCAGGAAGAAACTATGCTTGTGGAAATGCTGCATTGAGTAATTGGTGAATTGCTATAATTTCGTGCATTTGGTGTTTGAGAGGTTTGATCAAAGAACCCTAATTATATTAAATGTAAATTATTGCACGAACCAACCGAAACTCAACCAGCCAAAAAGCGGTAAATTAATAGTTTACCAATTTACTAACATTTGAACATATTCTTCTTTCTGCAGCTTGAGCTTACTTATCAGTAAAAATGGTGGAAAGATTTTTCTTCACAGGCCAAACCAATTTTCAGCTACCGATTCAACCCGATTCGGTCATTCTGCTTTCTGGGCCGCCTTCCTCGTAATAACATAACAAAATTTTCCTCTTTTTACAAACTGATAGAATCTCAATTGCTAAGTAATTTTCTTACGTTTTATGCAGTGGCAAAACATCATTGCTTTTCCAATTCGCATTTAACTCGGTATTAGAGAAAAATGGAAACGTGGTAATCATCTGCAACCGGCGCAGATTAGAAACCAATCCCCCCTTTCTCTCTCAGGTACCCCTAAACCCACTTATTTTCTATTAATCATTAATTCTATATAATGGGATTTTATTTTTCCTATTGAGTTATCTTTGGGACTGCAATTTCAGGGCGTTGATCCATCTTCTGAAATATTTCAGCACATTCAGATGAAGTAAGAAAAATAATCAAATTCAAACCCCATACTGTATCAAATGCAGTATTATTTCGGCAATTAGTTAATTAGTCTTGCTAATTCTGTATTATTCTTGAGATTCTTCTAGTTTGTACTTGATTGTTGTTGATGCAGTGTGTGATTTTTTATGTTTATGTTCTTGAAGGTATGTGGATGATGATGAAGGGATCAAGAATTATTTTGCTGCATTTCACATGCAAGATATATTTCCTGTTTCAGTTATTATCGATAATTTTGCAGATTTCTTTGACGGGAGGTGAGTTTTTCTCAATCCATTGTTCGACTGTATTGGTGTGGTGTGGTGTGGTTGTGAATATATATACATTTTTCTCACATTGTATGATTAGAAGCGTTGTTTGTTTATTTTGATTTTGTTGTTATAGTCTTAACCTGCTCTGATTAATTTCTCAAAAGGAATTGCCAAGAGAGATACAACAATCCTCGAGGAAGAGACTTGGCAATGATTCGGACATTAGCTCTTTGTCAAAATGCCATTAATCATGCCAAGTGAGCAAATTGTTACAGCCAGTGTAAAATGCAGCACTTGATTCTTCATCATTGTTTTTGACAGTAGTACCACCTTTCGACTATTTGACTTCAATCGTTTCCATTACAGATCAAGGGGTCCTTGTAATCTTTTATTGTCTGACGCGCACCAAGGTGACTCCCCAAGGTTGCTCTACATTTATAAGAGATGGATATCCTGCATTTACACGATCAGAGGTGAGACTCATGTTGAAATTGCAGCATAGAAATTATCAATGGCTACCCTTTCTAGCTTACGTCTTATCATCGATTTTTTGCTGTAACTGTTCTCCTCCTTATCATAAATATATATATTTTTTCCTTATATCTTCCCTTTTTAGTACAGAAGATGATGGCTCTGGATCATTTATTCTCAAGAATAACTCAGATATTACAAGTGCAGAGAGGAAGAGAACTGCCAAGTATTCCATAGCACTTCAGTACTTGGTACTGGAGGGCATTACAGAAGACGAAGAACGAGAGTAAATTTCAAATTAATTAATCTTTTTTAATTAGTGGTTGGTTCTATTTAGAGTTTATGCTACAGCCTAAGTACTGTGTTTATATCGATGTAGTAGCTTTAACTTTGCCACGTCTTTCTTGTTTCTATTTGTTTGTTTCTAAATTTTTCATGGTAGCTTAGGGTAAGGTAAGGGTTGTATATGCTTGTATTCTCATACATGCTTCAAACTAAGTAGTCCTTAAGTCCCGACTAAACATTAGTTCATAGGTTGTCTAAAAAGTTATGAACATCTCATATTACAAAATCATCTTTCCGGCAAACGCCCTTTGATAATCGGATAACAGAATTCCCCTCCAAGATCATTAGCAAAGGGAAATAATGTGATTGCTTATTTTCTTGGTAAAATTTTGATGAAAGAAATGAAAGTTTCTTGGATGCAAGTTCTCAAGTCTTGGGGGTATTGTTGATACTAGTAGTCTCTGCAAACCAACCAGCTCCACTGGGGTGTGTTGCTTTAAGACTTTGGTTTGAGCTTTACTTCTTGATACATTTCAATATCAAAAGCTTCTCCACCTACAGTCTCATAAGCCTCTTTTTAAGTAAGTTATTCCTGAGATAATCGTTTTTTCCTTTCGTAAACTTCGAAATTCTTTTGGACTTTCATTTTCACTTGCTGGCTTCTTATTGTACCCTTAGGTAGCCATCAAAATCTTCTCTAAACGTTGCAAAAACAGCAACAAACCCAACATCACAACTCTGCTCTTTTCGAGGAAAAACTATCAAATGCTTTAGTGGATGGACGAAATTTTCTTCCGTATCTTATTTCTAAATACCCATAAATTTCAGTAAACCAGAAAAGACGACACTAGAAACTTGCAACCCTCTAGGCTCTAACTGTCAAAATCAGCATCTACAGCCCTTTTAAATTGACGTGAATATATTTCTACAAAATAATATGTTGGAAAAAATTCAAAATAAAATGATTTGTGAATGAAGAATTGTAGCAACAAGCTTTTCATTTCAAATTTCAATTCTTTAATTAATTTTGTATTGAAGTGGTAGTTACAAAGCCTTAATAGCTATTGTAACATATTGCTCTAATGACTATTGTAACATTTTAGTTTTAAGACAAAATTAATAACAATTGAAACTTCCCTCATCCTAGTACTATATAAGGAGGTGTTCTCCTCCTTATTCCACAACAACAAAAACTTTGAGAGCTCTCTCCTCTCTTTAATTTTCTCTCATCTCTCTGTTTTCAAGAGTTTTTTTCTTTGTAATTTAGATAATTATTTCTAGCTCGATGAGAAAATTGTGAGCATTCTCAATTTACCTAAAGTAATGACGAGGTGGTAGTCACACGTCACATACTTTCAACCGTTGTATTTTGGGAGACAGAAGCCATCAATCATCTTGCTCCATAGTGGGGCACAAATATATTTTAAGGAAATTGTGCGACTAGGAGGCTGAGTTTTAAGTGAGACCATTTATGACCCCTCCAACCAACTTGGGAATTGAATATTTTCGAAAGAGGCTAGACTTGTTGAGGTTGGCTTATACCCTTCTAGTCTTATTTAAAAATTATATGTAGAGTGCTATTTGACTAGTGGAAAAAAAAGTATAATTATTATCATGTTTGAAAATGAGCATATTTTTCATTTGAAAAATTAGCATAATTTCATTATTGAGGAAACATCATAATTTTTAGACGATTTTGGGAAATTGTTTATTTTCAATTGGAAAATCAACTTATTTTCATAATTTTGAAAATAACACAATTTCCTATTCTGAAATTAACATTTTCTATTTAGTATTTTAGAAAGAAAATGACAAGTGAAACCGTCGTTAACACAACCACTGTTGTAGCCCATGGGCCTACTCCTTAGTGAACTTTCTAACGATAACTGCATATATTACTCATGGAGAGAAATCAAAGAAATTCAATAGGCTGACCACTATTAGGCTTGCAAAGTTCTTGACAGAGGATCCTTCGAAGTTGAAGGAGGATGAGACTGATAGCCAAGTCATCATTGCATTAGATGCTTGGAAACATTCTAAAAACTTGTGAGGAAATTGTCAACAATGGGTTCACTGATTCTTTGTACAATGTCTATAGTACGAAGAAGTCAGCAAAAGAGCTATGGGAGTCTTTCGATCGAAAGTACAAAATTGAGGATGTTGGGGCTAAGAAATTTGTGGTAGGTCGCTTCCTAAATTTCAAGATGGTTGACTCCAAAACTGTAATCGGTCAAGTTCAAGAACTCCAAGTGATCTTACATGAGATCCATGCTAAGGGAATGTCACTAAGTATTTTCCAGTGGCTTATATTATTATTGAGAAGTTGTTTCCTGGATGGAAAAACTTCAAGAACTATCTTAAGCAGTAGCAGAAGAAGATGAATGTTGAAGATCTGATTATTAGACTTCTCATTATGAGTAGTACCTATCAAATCTTTAAAGCGTTCCTACTCTGGGTATTACAATCACCCCTCGTTAGACTCACAACGTCTTCGTCGTGCTTGATCCGTCTGAGGATCCATTGCCAGACGTTGAGATTCTAGAGGTAGTTCCTACGGGTTTAAGAGGTGGTTCCCGCCATATGGTTTAGCACTTTGTCCCGCATAGCACTTAGTTCCTGATTTTCGACTGGCAACCGGGCTCTGATACCATATGTAACGACCCGATTTCTCGAAAACTCAATTTTTTTACTAATTCATAAAAATAAATACATCTCGAGCAAAAAATATAAAAACAACATTTATTTATTCAACAATAAAAAAATGAATGTCTTTCATACCATACACAGAAGAAAACAGAATTACTCCGAACATAGGTGGTAGTAAACTCAGTTCATAGTGCTACTAAACTATGGCATTCTTATCATAAACAAATATGGCCCATAAACGAATTTTCAGAATTTAAAACACAATATACAAGTTCACATAACCGCATGCAACATCACTTACCTCAAAAATTTCAAATGAAAATTGACAAGATACGTATGGGATAGTTGATTAATCAAAACCAGCCTTTCTGTCTTTCTGTGCGTGCAGTACAAAAAGGAAGAGATTCTTGTGTGTGTGAGAAAAGGTGAAAGACGTATGTGTTTGTGTATGGTCAAATATAATATTGTCAAATTGAAAGGAAAAGTGGAACCTTCCTTATTGCTCCACATGACACTGATTACCTACCAAATTCATTCCATGATTTCTGCATATCTACTATATATTCACACGTACAGATTTGGTAGCAAGACTAGATTGAAGGGAGAAATGACCCTATCAAATTTAGTTAAATCCTTAACTATGAATAGTTCACAATCTGTTCCCCAAACAATATAAACTAAGCAACGACAACGTACTGTCCGCACTGTACCAACATGGGTATTTTCAGCATGCTTTATCCTCACTCGCACGTTCCCCAAGAAAATTTCATAGGGGGTGACCCACCATAGAATTGCTCCAAACCAAGCACACTTAACTGTAAAGTTTCTAACGATGGACTTTCGGAAAAGAAAGTACACCTTATTGGCATGAGTAGTACCTATCAAATCTTTTAAACTTTCCTAATCTGGGTATTACACCTTGTACCAACATGGGTCTTTTGAACATACTTTATTCTCACTCGCACGCTCCCCGAGAAAACTTCCCAGGGGGTCACCCATCATAGAATTGCTCCAAGCCAAGCACGCTTAACTGTAGAGTTTCTAACGATGGACTTTCGGAAAAGAAGGTGCACCTTGTAGGTATGAGTAGTACCTATCAAATCTTTTAAACTTTCCTGGTCCTGGAATTAAAATCACCCCACGTTCGACTCTCGACGTCGTTATCGCGCTTGATCCATCTGAAGATCTGTTGTCAGGTGTTGGGATTCTAGAGATGGCTCCTACGCGTTCAAGAGGTGGCTCTCATCCTATGTCGTAGCACTTTGTCCGGCATGGCACTTAGTTCTCGATTTTCGGCAAGCAACCGAGCTCTGATACCATTTGTAATGACCCGATTTCTCGAAAACTCAATTTTTTTCAAATTCATAAAAATAAATACATATCGAGCCAAAAACACAGAGAAAACATTCATTTATTCAACAATAAAAAAATGAATGTCTTTCAAAAATAAAATAAAATGAAAGAACACTTGATCCAATGTCAACCCACATTTGAAGGCAAAACAAATATTTTCCCTATTATTAAATGAAATTTCTCTCATCATCGACCGAATTACCAGCACCAAACTCATGATCTCAACTTCCAGAAAAGTGGAAAACTTGATGGGGTGAGATTTAAGAAAAAAAACTCAATAAGTGTGTCGTGAACAAAAATTTTGCATTTAAATCAAGGAAAAACAAGATTTCATATCATACTTAGGAGACACGGGAATTACTCCGAACGTAGGTGGTAGTAAAACTAGTGCGTAGCGCTACTAAACTCTGGATTTCTTATCATAAACAAATATGGCCCATAAACGAATTTTCAGAATTTAAAACACAATATACGAGTTCACATAACCGCATGCAACATTACTTACCTCGTAAATTTCGAATGAAAATTGATAAGATACATGTAAGATAGTTGATTAATCAAAACCAGTCTTTCTGTCTTTCTGTGCGTGTTGTACAAATAGGAAGGGATTCTTGTGTGTGTGAGAAAATGTGAGAGACGTATGTGTTTGTGTATGGTCAAATATAATATTGTCATATTGAAAGGAAAAGTGAAACCTTCCTTATTGCTCCACATGACACTGACTACCTACCAAATTCATTCCACGATTTCTGCATATCTTTTATATATTCACTCGTACAGATTTGGTAGCAAGACTAGATTGAAGGGAGAAATGATCTTACCAAATATAGTTAAATCATTAACTGTGAATAGTTTGCATTCTGGTTCCCATACAAAATAAATTAAGCAACGACGACGTACTGTCCCCACGTACCAATATGGGTATTTTCAGCATACTTTATCCTCACTTGCACGTTCCCCAAGAAAACTTCCCAATGGGTCACCCATCATAGAATTGCTCCAAACC